GGAAGGCCCATCTTACAAAGGATCTCTTAGGGAAGGCCCATCTTACAGAGGATCTCTAGACCAACTAGATGTTTATAGAATTGTAGGACTGGAAGGGACCTCGAAAGGTCTTCTAGTCCAGTCCCCTGCACTCAAAGCAGGACTAAGATCAGTGTGATGAAGTTGTTCTTCACAAGTGTGGAGTTGATGCTGCAAAGGAGAAACACGAGGCTGCTGTTCTGTGTGAAATCTGGCAGAATCAACTGGAGAAGGTAACCTTGCTCTGGATGGGTGGGTGAATAAAGAACTCACTAAACTGGTGGAAGGAGCAACCTCATGTCTGTGCAAGCGTCCCTTTCTGCTGCCCAGCCCTATCAGTGACTCTAACAGCCAAAGCCCAACTCAACACCCTCATGTTTCAGGGCAGATGGACAGCCCACAAAATCAGTCTCCAACTTGTTAGAACTCAGGGTGATCAGGAATGCTTGCCTCCATTTCCTACCCTTCATCAGGGCAAAATGATCAGGGTCATGACAGACATGTCCAGTATGTTTTACATCAACAAGCAGGAAGGCGCAAGATTCCCCTCCTTGTGCACTGAAGTTATAAAGCTCTAGAACTGGTGCATAACCAACCATATCCAGATTTCAGCAGTCCACCTTCCAGGCATCTGGAACACCACTGCCGATGCCCTCAGCAGACACTTCTCCCACGACTACAAATGGGAACTGGACACTCAGGTCCTCCCATGCATATTCCAGAGATGGTGAAAGCCAGAGATCGATCTTTTTGCCACCCTCTGATAACAGGAAGTGTCCTCTCTTCTGTCCAAGAGGGATCTAGGTCATCACTCCCTTTGGGACGCCTTCCTTCTACCATGGAAAAGGACCCTGTTCTATACCTTTCCTCCAACACCCTTAATTTTAACAAGATCAGGCAGTACAAGACCAGAGTTTATCTTCATAGTGCCTACCTGGCCAAGTGAAGCGTGGTATTCTTACCTACTTCAGCTCTGTATCGAAATGCCAATCAGGCTCCTGATCATTCCTCATCTGCCTTAGAATGTGGGTCACACACTTCACCCCAAACTGGCAGTTCTATGGCTCAGAGTCTGGCTCCCGGATGTCTCTCCGGAATAGAGGTTTCCTGCCTTACGGAGGTGCAGTAGGTGTTATTAAATAGTAGAAAAACATCAATCCGTGCTACTTATCTGCAGAAATGGAAGAGATTTGTCCACTTGTGTGGTTGTCACTACCTCTGGCTGGAATCAGTTCCCCTTTCCCTCATCTTAGATTATCTGCTGGATCTGAACTTCTCCGGGTTATCCATCAGTTCAGTCAAAGTACATCTCGTCGCTTTTTTCCCCCAGTTGAGGAATTCTCAATTTCTGCTCACCTGGTATCATCAAGATTCATTGGTCTGGGTAATCTCTTTCCCCGTGTTAGACCCTCTGCCCCATCTTGAGACATCAACCTGATTCTCAACCACCTTCCTAGAACTCCATTTGAACCAATGGTGACCTGCTCCCTATTTCATGTATCTGTGAAGCAGTCTGTAGGGCCATGTCAGCCTGTAGGGCCGGGGAGATTGGCGCCTTGATGGCAGATCCCCCTTTTTACCATGTTCTTTCATGATAAAGTCTTTTTATGTCCACATCCTAGGTTCCTACCCAAAGTTACACTGGATTTCCATCTCAAGCAATCTATCCATCTATCAGTGTTTTTTCCAAAACCTCACAGTTCTCAGTAGGAATCCTATTTCCATACCCTGGACGTTAGAAGGGCCTTAGCCTTTTACCTGGTAGGACTAAGCAATTTAGGAGATCTCCTAGGCTCTTCATATCCTTCCCAGATAGGTCTAAGGGGACTTGCATTTCTGCTCAAAGACTTTCAAAGTGGATATTGGGTTGTATTGCTACTGTTATGAGTCTGCAGGTGGTCAGCAACCCCCTGGGGCCAAGAGTGCATTCAACCAAATGGTAGGTGACATCTGCTGCATTTTTTTGGAGAATATCCCAGTATTTGAGATATATAGAGCTGCTACCTGGTCTTCAGTTTGTACATTTTTGAAGCATTACGCCCTACTTCATGCTGTCAGATCTGATGTCACTTGGCTCTGCAGTACTATCTTCAGTTCTGAATCCTGTTCCGAAGCTGTCCCCTCCTTCTAGGGATACTGCTCAGAAGTCACCTGAAGTGGAGCATCTATAAGACACTACTAGAAAAGTAAGAAATGTTACCCTCTGATGTAACTATGGTTCTTCTAGATGTGTCCCCCTATGGATGCTCCACTACT